CCCCCCCCCCCGAGGGTATGGGGGCAGCTGTGTGCCATGGGGTACCCCAGGAATCACCCACAGCACTGCTGCCCCATGGAGGGTTTTATTTAAAAAATACATGAAAAATACAAAAAAAAAAGAAAAAAAAAAAGATATAGGGCCCCCCCACAGCGTGCCAGCCCCCCCAGGAGGGGGACGGAGGGGGGGGGGGCAAACAGCTGCCACCCTTGCTCGGCTGTGCTGTGGCACTGGGGGGTGGGGGCAGTTGGAGGGTGTGGATGCCATGGTGTGTGTGTCCCCCCCCCCGAGGCAAGGCTCAGGCGGTGCCATAATGCTGGGTGCAGGATGTTGGGGGGGTGAGGGACCCCTGGGTGAGCAGGGCGGGTGGGCCGGGGGGGGTTTCCTACTGCTGGTGTGACCTTTTGTAATTAAAGCAAAACCCGACCTGAGCCTCTGCCTCCTCTCTTGTGAGGGATGGGGGGGTCTTACTGTGCCCCCCCCCTTCCCCTGTGACTCAGTTTCCCCAGCTGGGTGATGCTGTCATCGTGGGGTGCTGCCAGCTGCCGTCTTGCGGGGGGGCTGCAGGCGGCTGCTGGGGGGGGCAAGTCTGCACCTGGAGCCAGCCCCCACCCCATGGGGTGCACCTGGGGGAGAGTAGGTGTGGGGAAACTGAGGCACGGAGCAGTCCCAAGCTGTCAGAGGGGACAGCCCCCATCCTTACCTCTGGGTGCAGCTGTGCTGGTCCGGGGGGCTCCCCTCCCACCTGCTGCAGTCCCTGATGTCCCAGCCCGGCCGGGGGGTTTGGGGATGGCACTGGGTGGGGGGGGGCGACTGCTGGGGGCGGTGCTGGCAGTGATGGTGGCCCTGGCAGTGGTGGTGGCCCTGGCACGGGGTGCACGGGTCGGGGGGGTGGCAGTGCTGCTCCTCAGCTTTGGCTGAGCTGGGAGAAACGGGGGGGGTTTGGGGTGGCCTTGTACCCATTCCCAATGCGGTCCCCATGGGGCGAGCTGTCCCCATCCCAATTCCCAGCCCCCCCTCCATTACCTGCTGTCCCTGCACGGAGGGGCTCAGACCTGCCCCGTGCCACAGCCCCCCGTGGTGGGCACGGCCGGGGGGGGCCACTCTGGTTGGAGGTCCCCCTGCTGCTGGGGGCACCTCTGGGTGGTGCCGGGGGGCGACAGCGGGGGGACTCCTGTAAGAGGGGGGGGCTCAGGGATGCAGACCCCACCCCACACCACCGCCGTGCCCCCTCCCCACCCCCCTGTGGTGCCACCCACCTTGGGGACGCTGGCAGCAGGCACGGTGGGCAGCAGGGCCCGCACAGGGCTGTCCTTCACCACGAAGGTCTCACGGCGGGGGCTGCGGGGGCTGCCCCCCCCCGGGCCAGGGGGCAGCGGGGACAGGTGGCATTGCTGCAGCTGTGCTGCCAGGCGAGTGGCCTCACGCACCATCTCCTCCAGCCCAGCCCCACTCAAGGGGCTCCAGCGCCCATTTGTGCCCCCTGGGGGCTCCTCGTCATCGTCATCATCCTCACGGCTGGGGGGTGAAGGGCAGCATTAGCCCTGCCCAAGTGCCCCACACAGGTGACACATTGGGGGCTGACACCTGCCCACGTTATGTCACCTGTGTCCCCATCTCACCTGTCAGAAGGGGACAGGATGCTAAAGTCGAACTTCTCCTCGGTGATGAATTGGACATCTGGGGGTGATGCAGGAGGGACATGTGGGGGACACATAAGGGGCCTCCAGTCCCCACGTTGGAGCACGCAGAAGGGGTCCCCGAGTTGGGGACAGCCACCCTACCTTGCTCCTCCATCATCACACCCGGTCAGTGAGCGGCACCGGAGCCCATGGGTGACCTGGGTGCAAGCAGGGGTGACCCCACGGCCCCCCCCACAACGTCTCAGCCACGGGCACAGCGCCTGCTGGGGACAGCTCTGCCAGCACCGGGCACAACGGGGCTTTGTGGCCATGGGGACAGCACGGGGCAGCACGCAGGGCGGGATGAACCCAAACACCGGGGGGGGAGGGGGCCAAACCCACTGCTATGGGGGCAGCCCTGCACCCAGCCCCATCCCAGGGGACACAGACCTGTACCCAGGGGGTCCAGCCCCACACCCTGAGCCCTATGGGTCTCAACCCCTGGATGTCCCAGCCCCCATCCCAACCCTGGGAGTCCCAGCCACGCGGCCCTATCAGACCACAGCCCCCAAAAGGGCGGCCCCAGCCCCCCCCAATCCCAATGGAACCCCAATCCCATACAGGGTCGGCCCCAGCCCCAAACCATGGAAGGTTTCCAGCCCCTCACCCCAGCCCCCAGCGCCAGAAATTCCGTCCCAGCCCTTCGCCCCCATAACGACGGATCGCAGCCCCACACGCAGCCCCACACCCCACCACCCCAAGCCCCGTAGGCCCCCGCAGCCCCACAACGACGGATCCCGGCCCCACACCGGCCCCACACCTGCCCCAGCCCCACAGCGCGGCTCCCGCTCCCACCCGGCTGTTCTCACCGCCCCGGCTGCCGCTCGGCGCTGCGGGGAGGCCCGGCGGGGCGGGGGCGGGGCGCTCCGCCCGTTCGAATTCTCCCTCCGGCCCCACAATGGCGCCTCGCTCTCCCGCCCGCCGCGCCGATTGGCCCCGCCCCCAACCCGTCCGCGATGCTCATTGGCCGCCGGCGGGGAAGGGGGCGTGTCACCGGAAACGCCGAGGGGCCGCTTCCGGTGCCGGCGGCAATAGCGGCGCACAGCATGGCCGCCGTCCCGCCTGACTCCTGGCAGCCGCCCACCGTCTCCATGGAGACCACGTAAGAGGCGGGAACCCCACGGGCCTCCGCGCTCGGTACCGGACCCCCCGTCCCGGTTTAGAGATGCCCCCGGAACCCTCGCTCCGTTACCGGACCGCCTTCTGCCTCCCCTCCCTCCTTCTCCCCCTTCGCTGTTGGGCCCGCCGGGTTCCCCGCTCGGTACCGGCAGCCCTTCGGGTCCCTCCTCCCCGCTCCCACAGTCCTCCCCACCCGGTACCGGGACCCGCAGGTGTTCGGGTTCCCCCACCCTGCTACCAGGACCCCCTTTTGCCCACCCTCCCCGGGACACCCCGCTTCCCCCCTCCCCCATACCGCCTCCCCCCGGTACCGGAGCTCCCCTCAGCTCCCACCCCCAGTTCCCGATACCGGGATCTCCCCCTCACCCTGATTCCCGACCCGGTTACCAGACCCCCAAGGTTCCCCCCCTGGTTCCAAGCTTTCCCTGCCCTAATCCCTCCCAGTTCCCCTATTCCGGTTCCACCCCCCAGTCTCCCCATCCCCTCAGCCCCCGATGCTGAGCTGTGGTGCTGTGGGCAGGATGGGCACCATGGTGTTGGAGCTGTACTGGCGCCACGCGCCGCGCACCTGCAAGAACTTTGCTGAGCTGTGCCGCCGCGGGTATTACAACGGAACCCGGTTCCACCGCATCATCCGGGACTTCATGGTGCAGGGAGGAGACCCCACGGGAACTGGTGAGTGCAGGGTCACAGCGGGGTCTTCCCTGTCTTGTCATGGGGACACTGGGACTCTCAGCCCCGTGATGGGATCGTCGGGACCCCCCAGCTCCATGATGGGGACACCGGGACCTTTATGATGGGGACGTTGTGATCCTCAGCCCTGTGATGGGGACAGGGGGATCCCTGCCCTGTGAGGGAGACGCTGGGACCCTCAGCCCTGTCGTGGGGTCATCGGGACCCCCAGCTTCACAATGGGGACACTGGGACCCTCAGCCCCTTAATAGGGATGCTGGATCCTCCAGTTTCATGGTGGGAACACTGGGACCCTCAGCTCTGAGATGGGATCATCAACATCCCCAGTCCCACAGTGGGAACACCAAGACCCTCAGCCCCCTAACGGGGACACTGGGACCCTTATCTCAGTGCTGGGGACACAAGAACCTCCCCAGCCCTACAGTGGGGATCCTGTGGTGTGGGGCCACGACCCCCTGCTCATCTCCATGCTCACAGGTCGTGGCGGTGCTTCTATCTACGGCAAACACTTTGAGGACGAGCTGCACTCCGAGCTGAAGTTCACCGGTGAGACCTCAGTCCTCAAATCCCACCTTTATGTCTTAAAAAAAAAAAAAAAAAAACCCTAAAAAAACACCGATCCCATCCATCCCTTCCTCCATCCCTCTCTTCATCCATCCCCAGGTGCCGGCATCCTGGCCATGGCCAACGCAGGGCCAGACACCAATGGCAGCCAATTCTTCATCACGCTGGCGCCGGCGCAGTGGTTGGATGGCAAACACACCATCTTTGGGCGCGTGTGCCAAGGCATCGGAGTGCTGGGCAGGGTGGGCATGGTGGAAACCAACGCACAGGACCGACCCCTGGATGATGTGAAAGTCCTCAAAGCTGTCCCTGCTGGGTGACACGGGGAATAAAAAGTGTGCACGGAGTGGTGGTGCTGGTGGTGCGCTGCGGGGATGGGGTGTGGGGTGGGAACGTGGAGGTGTCACCTCTGGGGGTTTGGAGATGTCATCTGTGGGGCATGGAGGTGTCACCTTTGGGGGCACAGATGTCACCCATAGGGGCATGGAGGTGTTACACGTGGGGTGTGGAGGTGTGAGCCCTGTGGATACGGAGATGTCACCCATAGGGGCGTGGAGGTGTCACCTGTGGGGACATGGAAAAATCACCCATAGGGGTATGGAAGTGTTCCCTATACAGATGCAGAGGTGTCACCCATAGGGCGTGCAGGTTTCATGTGTAGGGACACAGAGATGTCATCTATAGGGGCATGGAGGTGTCACACGTGGGGTGTGGAGGTGTCAGCCCTGGGGACACGGAGATGTCACCCATAGGGTGTGGAGGTGTCACAGGGACACAGAGATGTTTAGGCACCATAGAGGGGTGTCACACGTGGGGTGGGGAAATGCCAACCCTGGGGACACAGATGTTACTCATTGGCACAGAGGTGGCACACGTGGGGCATGGAGATATCACCTCTGGGGACATGGAGGTGTTACCTGTGGGCACAGAAGTGTCACCCAGAGGGACGTGGCAGGGAGGTGTCACCTCTGGGGACGTGGAGTGATCACCCCTAGCACCAATCCCACGTGTGGGGACGTGGAGATGCCACACATGGGCATACACATGTGCCACCCCTGGAGGAACGTGTCACCTGTGGGGCACAGGTTTGTCACCCACGGGCTCAGCGCAGCCCCACTGTGGGCACCAGGGAGCACCCTGAGCACTGGGTGGGAGGGGAACTGGGAACACTGGGAGGCACTGAGGCGCAGTGGGGATGTGGGGGGTGGGGTGGGGAGCAGGGGGTGACACTGGGGATGTGGCACTGGGAGCACTGGGCAATGCTGGAGGTAGAATGAGGTGACACTGGGAGCCAGTGGGTGGAAGTGGGGGTGGCACAGGGAGCACTGAGTGGTACTGGGATGCAGCAGGGCGGTGCTGTGAGCACTGGGTGATGGTGGAGGTGGCACTGGGAGATACTGGGGACGCAGTGGGGTGGCACTGGGAGCACTGGGCAATGCTGGGTCGGCACGAGGAGCTCCGCGTGAGCCTGGAGGTGTGCCGGGGTGGCACTGGAAGCACTGGGCGATGTAGGGGATGGCACTGGGATCGCTGGGCGGTACTGGGCTGGCTGCAGAACGGCACCGCGGGCACCGGGTGGTGATGCGGGAGGCACTGGGAGCACTGGGCGCTACTGGGGGCGGCGCGGGGGCGGCACGGGGGCCGGACCGGGGCGGGCTCGCGGGAGGCTCCGGGGGCAGCCCCGGGGCGGCGGCGCTGCGGCAGCGCTGTAACGGGAGCACCGGGAGCCCCGAAAGCGCCGGGACGGCCCCGGGAGCGGCGGCGGCGGCGGCCCCGGGCGGGGGGAGCGGGGCATGGCGGGGCTGGGGGGGCTGCGGGCGGGCGGCACCGGCTGCGTCCCGGCCACCAAGGTGGAGCTGACGGTGTCCTGCAGGTAGGAGCGGGGTGCGGGGCGCTGGGAGGCATTGGGGAATGGAGGAGACCGGAGGTGTTTGGCACTGGGAGGCACTGGGAGGCACTGGGGAGCAGCCACGGTTGCGTGGCGCTGGGGGGTATTGGGAGGCATTGGGGAATGGAGGAGACTGCAGGTGTGCGGTGCTGGGAGGTACTGGGAGCACTGGGGAGTATTTGGGGTGCGTGGGGCTGGGAGCACTGGGAGGTACTGGGGGCACTGGGGAGCACTCGGAGCGTGTGAAATGTGGGGCACTGGGGTGCAGTTGGAGTGTGTGGGACTGGGAGCACTGGGAGGTAATGGAGGCACTGGGGAGCACTTGGTTTCTGGTAGTGGGAGGCTCTGGGGGAGCGGGATGTGGTTGTTGTGGGATACTGGGATGTTCTGGAAAGAACTGGGGAGCACAGAGGATGTAAAGCATTGATGGGGGGGGGACTCAGGGGTTGTGGGGGCACTGGGAGAGCGGAGGTGGCTGCAGCTGTAGGGCACCGTGGGGTACTGGGCAGCACTGGGGGGGCGAGTGGGGGTGGTGGTTGTGGGTCTCTGGGGGATGAGGAGCACAGGGGTGGGTGGTGTTGGGGTACCCGGGGTGCTCGGGGCTGTGGGATACTGGGAGGCACTGGGAGCTACTGGGGAGCAGCGAGGGGCACCACAGGGTGTTGTGGGGAGCGCTGGGAGGCACTGGGAGAGAAAAGGGCAGTGGGGCTGGGGGGGCACTGGGAGGTAGCAGGACGGGGTCTGCGGTCTCTGGAGGTGCACAGGAGGGGCTGCTCCATCTCCCTTATCCCCCCCACCCCAAACTCCTCTCCATGCCCCGATCTCCCCCTGCACCCCCAGCCCTGTGCCCGCTGCCACCTGGCACCCATCACCCAGCACCCGCCCCCCCCCCACGCTGTGCTCACTGCGGGGGGGGGGGTCACACCACCCCTCCCTGCCTCAATCCCACCCCGTGGGCCCCCAAAACCCCTCATGCAAGCTGGGTTCAGGATTCAGTGTTTTGTTGGGGGGGGGAATCCCGGGTGCCCCCACCCTGCCCTGCCGTGTGCCCCCCCCCCGCCCCCCAGCTGTGCTGCCTGCAGCCGCTCCGACCTATTTTCCTCCCACTCCATCGGGGAGCAGAGAAACTCCCCAAAGCCGCTGCAGCTCCGGCTGTGCACCAACACACGGCTGTGCACCAACACACAGCTGTGCACCAACACACACACGTGTGTGCACCAGCACGTGACCCTGTGCACCATCTCACATCCGTGCGCCCCCTCCCTTCCCCCCCTCGTGCCTCAGTTTCCCCTCTCCCCGCAGGCAGCTCCTGGACAAGGACACCTTCTCCAAATCTGACCCACGTGAGTGGGGCTGGGGGTGGGGGCTGGGGGCTTGGGGGGGGGGGGGTGAGCATTGAGGACCCCCACCTCTGTCCCCAGTTTGTGTCCTCTACACCCAAGGACCGGACACCAAGCAGTGGCGGGAGGTGAGTGCTGACCCTGTGATGTGGCCAATGGCGTGTTGGGGTACCGCTCAACCAACCAATCAGCACGTTGGGGTACCGCTCAACCAACCAATCAGCACGTTGGGGTGCCAGGCAGCTGGCCAACCCGCGTGTTGGGGCGCAGGGCAGGCGGCCAATCAGCACGCTCAGCCTCCCCCAGCTTTGCAGCCCTGCTCCCGCCCCCGGCTGCGCGCCCTGTAATTAGCCGCTGGTTAATTGAGGGGCTCGGGCTGTAATGAGCGGGTGGGTGGGCTGCCCCTGCGGCTGCACAAAGGGGCACCTGGCTCGCCCCCCCCCCCCTCTGACGGCGCTGCCCCAGTTTGGCCGCACTGAGGTCATTGACAACTCCTTGAACCCCGACTTCGTGCGCAAGTTTGTGCTCGATTACTTCTTCGAGGAGAAGCAGAATCTGCGCTTCGACCTGTGAGTGCCGCCAGCCCGTCCCGCCGTGGCCGCGTCCCCATCCGCCGCTCCCCTTCCCATCCCTATTTCCCCTTCCCAATTCCCACCACCATTCCCCATTTCCATCCTTACTCCCTATTCCCCATTCCCATTTCCCACCACTATCCCCATCTGCCCTTCCCCATTCCCCATCCCTACTTCCTATTCCTAATTCCCACCCGCTGTTTCTGACCCCATCGGTCTCCCATCCCTCTCCCATCTCCATCCCCATCCCCACTCTGCCCCACTGCCGCGCTCCCATCCGTCCCACAGGTACGATGTGGACTCCAAAAGTCCCGACCTCTCCAAGCACGTGAGTGTGGCACTGCTCCTATGGGATGGGGATGGGGTGGTGGAGGTGGGGAGGTGGGGATGGGGCCATGGTGGTGACCCTGCTCTCTGCAGGATTTCCTGGGCCAGGCCTTCTGCACGCTGGGTGAAATTGTGGGCTCATCTGGCAGCCGCCTGGAGAAGCCACTGACGTGAGCAGGACTGGGGGGTTGGGGGGGGGCCATGCCTGGCATCCCGTGGGTGATGGTGACGATGGAAGGTCCTTATCTCACATCCCGGCGGTGTCTGGGATGGAGAGCAGAGCGCAGTGCAGACAGCACAGCTCTGTGCTGACCACCCCCCCTCCCCCCCCATACACACACCCTGAGATGCCCCTACTCGGGGTCCTGCTGTGGGTCCCCCCACCCCGCTCTGTGTCCCTGCAGGATGGGGACAGTTACTGCACACCCCCGCAGCAGGAAGCCGGCACCAGCCATGTCCAATGGGTGAGCATTGGGGTGACCCCCCAGCGGAGACACTTGTGTCACTGTGTGCCCCCCCCTCACCGCCTGTCCCATAGGGGCATCCCGGGCAAGAAGTGTGGCACCATCATCCTCTTGGCTGAGGAGCTGGGAAACTGCAGGGTGAGAGCTCGGGGACGTTGGGGACAGCTTTGGGACCCCCCCACCCCCCCCCCACCCCCCTGCCTACCTTATTCCAGAGGGGAGGATGCAGGGAAGGGGGGATGGGGGCTCTGTGGCTGTGCCTGGGGCCTTCCTCCGCATGGGTGAGGATGGTGAGGGTCAGAGCCACATCCTGGCTGCTCCCACGGAACCCCGGTGCCCACAGAGAGGGGGGGGTGGGGTCCCATTCGGTGCCCATAGATTGGGGATCCCACTCGGTGACCCCCCTCGTGCCGCAGGACGTGGCCACGCTGCAGTTCTGTGCCAACAAACTGGACAAGAAGGATTTCTTTGGCAAATCCGACCCCTTCATGGTCTTCTACCGCAGCAACGAGGACGGGACGTGAGTACCCCAAAATGTGAGATAGGAGGCGGGGGGGCAGGGGGTACAACCCTACTTCCCCCCTACCCCCAAAGTGGGAGACACAGAACCACCCCCCACACACGGGGGGTGGCGTGGAGGGGAAATCTCCAACACCAAACAAACCGAAGTGCTGCGTGTTGTGTTGGCCACGGGGTGACCTTCCTGCCCTCCTGTGCCCCCCCCCGCAGCTTCACCATCTGCCACAAGACAGAGGTGATGAGGAACACGCTGAACCCCGTCTGGCCAGCCTTCGCCATCCCGGTGCGCGCCCTCTGCAACGGCGACTACGACCGGTGAGTGCCGCGGTCCTCCAGGCGGCGCCGCTCTGTGCCCTCTTGCCCTCGTCTCTATGGTACCCCGCGGCAGTGGGGGCGCCGCTCTGTGCCCTCTTGCCCTCATCTTTGTGGTACCCGCCTGCCTCCATCTGCTCCGTGGGTCCTCCCTGATGCCCGGTTGAGCCCCCGGTGCCGGTTGGTGGCTCGGCGTCGTGCTGCCGCCTCAGCCCCGTGTCGGACGTTGCTGTGGCAACAGTGGATAAAAATATCCCACCGAAACCGGCCGAGAAGGAGGAGGAGGAGGAGGAGGAGGAAGGAGAAAAGCCCCCACGGAAGGATCAACACAAAGTCGTGGGGCGGGATGTGTGCAGGGTTGTGCTTTTGGGTGCCAATCGTGACCCCCCACCCCCTTCCCCGTTCCTTACAGAGCCATCAAGGTGGAGGTGTATGACTGGGATCGTGATGGCAGGTGAGCTGGGGGGGCCGTGGGGGGGCCGCTTGCCTGTCCCTGCCTGAGGTGACGGTGACACCCCCTGCCCTACAGCCACGACTTCATTGGTGAGTTCACCACCAGCTACCGGGAGCTGGCGCGGGGGCAGAGCCAGTTCAACGTCTACGAGGTGAGGAGGGGACGTGGAGATGGGTGCTGGAGCCCCACTCTGCAGCCTTGGGTCCTACAGACCCCAGGGATTCTATGCCGCACCCCCAGGAATCACCCACGGGTGTGACAGCCCCCAAGGGTGCCTTCACTGCACCTCTGGGTGCTCCATCTTGCAGTGCTCCGTATCCTCTCCCTTCCACAGGTGGTGAACCCCCGGAAGAAGATGAAGAAGAAGAAATACCTGAACTCGGGGACGGTGAGGGCTGGGTGAGCACAGGGCACGGTGCGTGGCCGCCGTCCTGCTCAGCCTGCTGTCCCCACAGGTGACACTGCTGTCCTTCGCCGTGGAGTCTGACCACACGTTCCTGGACTACATCCGGGGCGGGTGAGCCGTGATGCTCCCATCCACGCAATGGGCACAGCTGGTGCTGGTGGCCCCCGTGGGGTTCCAAGAGTGGGACCTGTGGGTTGGGAAACATCACCCACGTGGAACTGGGAGCTGTGGAAGGAATGGAGGTCCTCCTCCATCCCCCCCATCCTCAGAAGGGTTTTTTTTTTTCTCCCTCCCAGGACCCAAATCAACTTCACGGTGGCCATCGACTTCACTGCATCCAACGGTGAGCGCTGGCAGTGGGCAGCACACCCCACGCTGGTGGATACGCACGGTGAGGTGGGCTTGCCACGACCCCACACACTGACCCCACTCCTTCCTCCCCAACCCTGGGTGCAGGCAACCCCTCACAGTCCACCTCCCTGCACTACCTGAGCCCCTACCAGCTCAATGCCTACACCATGGCGCTGAGGGCGGTGGGTGAGATCATCCAGGACTACGACAGCGACAAGATGTTCCCTGCGCTCGGCTTCGGTGCCAAGATCCCACCCGACGGGCGCGTGTCCCACGAGTTCCCATTGGTGAGACCCCCCCCCCTTCCATCCCTCCCACGGGGACCGGCTCACGGTGTCCCTTGTCACGCGGGTGCCATCATCCCCATCACCCATTGCATCCCACAGAACGGCGACGCGGCCAACCCATCTTGCAGTGGCATTGAGGGCATCTTGGAGGCTTACCACCGCAGCCTGCGCAGTGTGCAGCTCTACGGCCCCACCAACTTCGCCCCCGTGGTCAACCACGTGGCCCGGTAATTGGGGGAGGGTCCTAAGGAGGTTTGCCATGGTCCCCCAACCCTGTGCTCAGTGCTGGTCCTGCAGCTCGGCAGCGGCCGTGCCGGATGGATCGCAGTACTTTGTGCTGCTCATCATCACCGATGGGGTCATCTCAGACATGGCACAGACCAAGGAGGCCATTGTCAATGTGAGTGCTGCCAGGGGGGGTGTCCTGATCCACTCGCCCAGCTGGGGGTATGGGGTGCCCCAAATATTTTGTGTAGGATCCTACTGGGGGCATGGGGTATCCGAAAACAGTGGGGTGTAACACTTAGCTGGGGGCGTAGGGTGCCACAGGTAGTGGGGTGCCCCAAAATATTGGGGTGTAAGAGTCAACTAAGGACATGTGGTGCCCCAAATATTGAGGTGTAAGACCCCTAGCTGGGTCGGTTTACCAGGGTGCCCCAAAACACGGAGGTGCAGCTGGGTGCACAGGGTGCTCCGGGTGGGTTTGGGATCAGGGGGCGAGGGAAGGATGAGGGGCTGCTGTCCCCGTGTTTGGGTGATGGGGTGGGATGTGGGATGCGAGCTGTGCCACAGAGGGTGGGGAGGGCAGCTCAGCCCCAAAGGGATGCACATCCCAGCCCCACAGCAGGATGCACCCACACAGCGCGTCACGGCCCCGAGCACGATGCGCACAGCAGAGCCCACGCAGCGCAGCCCCCACATGGCACACAGCACCGGGGCGGCACCAAGGGGGGGGGTGCTGCCACTGGGGGGGGGACCCCATGGCACCTCATGGCACCCCAAGGATCCATAGGTGCCCAGGGGCGGTGTCACCCCAGATATTTTTACCATTTCCCCCCCCCTGCAGGCAGCCAAGCTCCCCATGTCCATCATCATCGTGGGGGTCGGCCAGGCTGAGTTTGACGGTGAGGCTGTGCTCCACCCCCCCCCCCCAAGGGGTCCCTGCTGTTTGAGGGGGGCTGATAGCACTCAGCCCCCCACCTCTCCCCGCAGCCATGGTGGAGCTGGATGGGGATGATATCCGCATCTCCTCCCGCGGGAAGGTGGCTGAGCGTGACATTGTGCAGGTAGGGACCCCCCCAGCACTGTGCGTTGGTGCCCACCCCCCCCTCCCCATCCAGACCCCTCCCAGTAGCACCGGGATTGGGTGCCACTGCTGGTCCCAGTGTGGGGATGGGGGGATGGTGGGGTGTGCTGGGATACGGGGTGCAGTGGGGCTGGGGGTGGTACAGCAGGATGGGGGGGGACTGGGACTGGGGGAGATGCATGGGGGAA